ACCAGACTTCTTCTGCTCCGATACTGCTTCCATTGACATCTCAAATTGATTATTAGGCCATTCATCCTCAGCCATTTCCAAGAATTCTGGTCCTTTCCACCATTGCTCACTGTTTGCCAACGCAGATGCTACCATCTCTCTTGTCAAGTGATCAGCAGGATTATCCTTCGTGGGAACATATCTCCATTGCTCAGGGTTTGTCATGTTTTGAATCTCACCAACACGATTTGCAACAAATGGCTTGAAACATCTGCTATGTCCTCTGATCCACCAAAGTGTGTTCATGCTGTCACACCAGAATTTGACTTGCTTCACTGACACTTGCATTGCATTCGCTACCGATACCGCCAATCGAAGTCCTGTGACTGCTCCCATTAGTTCCATCCTTGGAATGCTCATAGCTGCCAGTGGTGCAACACGTGACTTTGCTGCGACAATATTAGTAGTAGCTGCATGATCAACGTAGACATACCTTGCATAAATAACAGCTCCATAAGCTTCTTCTGATGCATCACTGAAAACGTGTAATTGCATTGATTGAACATCTTTATGCTTGCCAGTGTGAAGACATCTTGGCACTGAAAGATTTGACAACTCGTGAAGTTCACTGTACCAACTCTGAATCTTTGACTTGACTTCGCCATCGAGCTCATCATCCCAATCGAAGCCTTGTCGCCAGATTTCCTGCATTACCACTTTTGCTCTAACGATGAATGGTGCCAAGAAACCAAGAGGGTCAAACAATGATGCAATGGTTCTCAGAAACGATCTCTTTGTGATGATTTGATTTTCTTCAGGTGGGCTTGAGTGAAAACTGAAAATATCCTCCTTTGCTCGCCAAAGTATTCCAAGGGTCTTTACAGTTGGAAGTTCTCCATTGTCCAAATCAATTTCAGATGCTCTGTCTTCTACTGGGATTGCAGAGAGAACTTCTGGAGAATTAGAGAGCCACTTTCTTGCATGCATGCCTGCCTTGTTCCATAGAGCTGCAAGCTGATGATACAGTTGGATTCCCTTTTCGTCATCTTGTACTGAATCAATGCTGTCATCCATGTAGGTTGACTTGAGTGCAGTTTCTGAAGCCATCGGATATTCTGATCTGTACAACTGAGCATGCTTTTGAATCACAAACTGTGCTTGAAACGGTGAACTTGTTATACCAAACACCACTCGGCTGAATTCATACTCCTCTGGATCTCTGTCCTGGTCACATCTTCTCCAAAGAAATCGATGATACACACGGTCAGCTTCTGGAATCTGAATCCTCAAATACATCTCAGCAATGTCACAGACAACAGCGACGGGATGACATCTAAAGCGTAGCAAAACATCAAACAATTCTCGTTGCAGCTTCGGGCCTGAATGTATCATGTCATTCAAGGATGTCCCTTCATACTTTGCTGAAGCATCAAAGACGATTCTGATCTTGGTGGTCGCTTTGTTGGGTTTCAATATAGCAAAATGAGGAAGATACCACTTGCTGTCAGGTTGCTTCTCAGAGACTGGAACCTTTCGTATGTATCCTTTGTCCAAATATTGATCAATGACTTCATCGTATGCCTTCATCACATCTGGGTTCTTGAGCAAACGTTTCTCGGTGTTCTGAAGTCTTTTCATTGCCATTTTGTGATTGTTCACCATTCTATAACTATCTTCTTTCCATGGTACTCCAACTTCATATCGACCATCAATGAACCTGAAAGAATTCTCAGCTTTTTCCAATGCAGCCTTCTCATCAGGACTCACCACTGTTGTCTGGGTGAACGTTCCAGCTGAGTCGATATCCCAAAACTTCTTCATTGTTGAGTTGATTTCATCGACATCAGATCTGCTTGTAGTAAACAAAGTCGTCTTGCTGAAATGGGTATCAGGGATCTTCTTGCCTTCTGGACATCCTACGCATGTCCACCCCAATGGCGTTCGTCTGGCAATGGGCTCTCCTTCTTGTCCCCTGACTTCTTCGTAAGAATAGTGCATGTCAAGGTAGTCAATACCAATCAGCAAATCCACGATAGGTCTCAAACCGGTGTCTGGAAAATCAATGTGCTTCAAATGAGGCCATTTGTCTGCTAGATGTGACCATTGGATGACCTTCATGTTTCCAGTTACTCTCTTTGCAGTAAGTGCTTTTACTCTGATGTCAACATCACCACTTACACTTTCAAGTCCAAACTCGACAGGCATGGTTTGAAAAGACTTGCAATCTCCATTCAAAACATTGACCTTTATTGTTTCAAAGGTACCATTGAGACCCAGTTCTGCTGCAACATCTTCATTCACATACGTTTGAGTGCTGGCATCATCAAGAAGTGCGTTCAATTTCAATCTTCGACAGCCATTTTTCAAAACAACCGGAATGGTTCTCAATGCTGTTGCTCCTTTGACATCTGATTTTGAGCACACCATCGTTGTTTGTGTTGCAAAATTCCTCTGCAAACGCTCCCCCTCCGTGACTGACGATGACAACTGTTGCTGACTGCTACTGCTGACTGATTGCTGATTGAAGGCTTCTGGTGTCCTTGTTTTATTGCTGTTTTGCTTTCCAGTGATCCTGTTACCCATGCTATGCAGCAACTTGTTGTGTGTTTCCTGACATCCACGAATACCACACACTCTACTTCGAGTACATTTACTACCACTGTGGTCATCACCAAGGCACCGAAAACACAATTTGAAATGCTTTGCCACATTCCATCGCTGTCGAATGTCCATGTTTCGAAAAGCATCACATGCCCATACACCATGTCTACCATTGCACACTTTGCACAGTCGCTGCTTACCGTATTTCCCACCAGTGACACCTGATCTACCAACTTGAAAACGATTCACTTGTGTTAATTCTTCAGTAGCACCAAAGAATGTGGTTTTCTTCTCTCCTGCTAAGTTTCTTGATCTACTGTTTCTTCTTTCGCTTGATACACCATGCACTGTCTCTCTTGCAACTGTGTAGAATTCAGACTCTTGAATCACCCACATCTTCAGTGTTTCAACGCATTCTCTTCTTCGATTCTCAAAGATCCATCGATTGTACTGCGTCAGCAGTGTTTCTGGAAGTTTCTTCAGTAGCTTGATGTAGAGAGATCCATTTCCCAATTCATCGTGACGTCCACTCTCCAGTAGATTCACCACCAGAACATCAAGTAGATCTGCAAACTTCTCTATGTCTTTTGAACATCCATCTCTCACTGGTTTGAAATTATCCATGTCCTCCAAGTGAATTGCGATTTCCCTCCTCTTGCCACCAAATTTTCGCTCTAACCTGTCCTTTGCAGCTTCATATGCAGCTCCAGAAAAGCCAAGATTCTCGATCGCTTCCAGTGCAACGCCAGATAGATATTGCCTCAACTGCAGCAGCTTGTATTCAGGAGTCGCAGGAGCTCTGTCAATGCAAGCCAGAAATGCAGCTTTCCAGTTCTCATACTTTCGCTTGTCACCAGAGAAAACGGGAATCGCAACACGCTGCAGCTGTCGCCACATGTCCTGACCAAGTGACTCTTCGTGTGAATATCGCTCAGATCGTCTGTGATCACCACCAAATCTGACTGACTGTTGCAGTTGCTGTGAATGTTCCTCCGGGGTCATTGGAAACTGACTTCTTTTCGCGCCAACACCGACATTGGTTGACTTGTGCTGAAGCTCTTGTCGCTCAGAATTGTTGTGAAATTGAGAAGAATCAAATTTCGCTTCCTGAAATGGCAAATAAGTCTCTTGATTAAATCTAGGTGCTCCAAGGCTTACCTTTCGATCCTCTCGTGGGTTGTAAGATCCCGCTGTCTTACTTGATTCTGAATCTCTTCGTTCATCCAGATACTCCTGTACTCTGTTGTGGGTCTCTTCGAATTCTTGCACCAATTGCTCCATTTCCTGAGTAACTTTTTGTCTTGCTGTTCCGTTCTTCTGCCATTGATAGTGCTCTGACAGTGCGATCATGATCTTCAGTGCCCTTTCTTGTGTGCTGTCCAATTTCGTTTGCCCATCTCGAACCTGATGTCTGTTTGGTAGATCCATTTCTTCCACCAGTTCCAACAACTGCTTTCTTGCACGTGTGAACGCCGACTTTGCTTTTGCTTTTTCTTGCTTCAAGCTTTCCAATTTTTCTTCCAAATCTTCCACGTCTTCCCCTCTTCCGATTCCATCTTCTGTCCTTCCTTCTTCACCTGCGTTTGAAGTCATGCTTCTCGTCAATTGGCCTTCCTCTGTCCAAGTTTGTACACGGCAAAACTACCCTCTGCTACCAAATGTTTGAAAGACCGTCCGCGACTTTTGATCCTTAAGCCCGAAGGCTAAAAACTAACTAACTAACTACGAATACGAACCTAATTTATACTATTAACGACGTAAACAACTTTAAAATATTGTCACTAGTTTGATTGTCCATTACGCAAGGGATTAACAAATACTGTCCTCTAAAAACACATTAACACTCTCTACTAACCAACCATTGTCCAATTTAACGCAAAACAACTTGCTCAAACAACTATTGTGTCCAGACGCGTAAAAGTTATTGTTCCAATCAACAATTACAAGAATGAAAGTATCACATGTCTGTCTTCTGAACAAACATTACTGAAATTGCAAAAAGAAGTTCCTTTAGTGAGCTGGAGGTTGTGATGGCAATGCACTGTGGCCCAAAATAGTATCTTTTCTGATGATTATTCTGCAACAAAGAGTTAGTTTAATCTTCCAAAATTAGTTAATAGAACTGGATTCTTGTGAAATTTAGCCTATTATATATGAAGAAATATACCAGGACACTCGCCTGTATGAAGAATGCTCCAATTTTTTACTAAATCAAAGTGTCCTGGTGAACTTAGGTCAAAGTTTAATTAAGGTTATTTTTGTCAAACCTGACATAAAAAAATTTGAAATGTTTTTTCCGCTTTGAAAAAGATTGAATGATATCATCAGGTGCACTAGCATCAAAGTCTGCTCAATAAAGTTATGTTCATGGTCTTGAGTTTAACTTGCTTCAGGGAAGGATGACAGAACATTGGATGATAAATCCACCATAAAAGACAAATTTTGCTAAGTCCTGCTTTCATAGCATTTCAACATAGATGATTGTGTTGTATTCAGGTTAATAGACCCCCTAGGCCCATACAAGTACCAACAATTGTTTCTGTTATTCTTCCCTAGACTCAGTATGCCAAAAGTTCATAAGAGTTCCCTTATTCTTCTGTGGGATTAAAAAAACCTTGTGTTGTGTAAATGTTTCCTTTTTCAGCTTATAATGTCAGCTATTTGCTTTCTACCATGTTTTTATTATTGTACTTTGCTTCTAGGCCCAGAGGTCTGGAGAGAAAGTCCCCTCTGTTCAACCTCTTGCAACAGTAACTATAAACCATACCGTAAGTTCATTTTGATATAATATTCTAAGGGTTGCACCCTGAACATGTAAGTTTTGCATTAAGAAACTTTTCATTTTTGAAACTTTACTTTGCATAAAATGCAGAAAAGAGCCATATATTTCCATAAAATTCAATTATAGAACTTCAAAAGAAAAAGGTTAGGTACTTCTAGAATGTTTATGTAAAATGCTACTTCTAGAAATAGTGATGCTCCTAAAAAAAGTTTTCAAATGCTTTAACCCTTTTGTCAGGTGCCAAGTGTGCAAAATGCTCTTAAATACTATTGTGCTAAGAATTTGTAATTTCCTCTTTTTTTAAAAGTTGAAGATAACAAATATAAATGATTTGCATCATTTCATGTTTTATTTATAATTTTCTATTGAATGAAACTTCAATTGATCTTGCATTGATGCAAGTATCTCAGATAGCTAGAAAAATTTTTGGTTGGTCTGGAATTGAAATTCTCTCCTTACATTCCTCAGTGTATCTTTCTAGAGATTGTATTCAGTGATATTTGTTTTCCCCATTTCTAATTTCCTGTTATCTTGATAAATGTCTTCTCTGCATATCATAAGGCGTTTAGAAATATCAAAGGACTTGTCAACAATGCAAGCTTAGAAAGCTATTATTCCTTTTTGTCTTTAGGAAGAAATTTAAGTTACACATTGATCTCCTTTGTTTTTGCATCTCTTGTAAGAATCCCATTTTTTCAACAGGGAGCCAGACGGGAAGGATTTATTGTACAGACTGAGTTCTTGTCTGCTTGTGTTACAATGCTTATTTTCTGGCTGGCAAACACAGCAAGAGGAAAGATAATGGAATAGACTCTTTTTGTTACATAATTGCTTTAAACCACAAAATTTCTATTTGTAAGAAAATAGTTTTCTTGTCAGTAATTTAATCCACACATCAGTTCTTTTGATTATGTCTCATCCTACGTCTTGCTGCATTAGCTTAAATTTTGGCTCTTTCTCAAGCATCAAGTAGGTCAAAGTTAATGCTGGCTTGGTTTTACATTTTCAAGTGCAATATGCTCATCAGCTCAATATGCTATATAGTTTAGACTGTATAGTTTAGGTTAACATGTTTTATCTTTGTATACGAGCAAAAATTGTTTGAAAATACATACCCGGGAAACATCCCGATAACAACCAATAATCTGGATTCTATACACCAAATAGTGTGTACAGCTCTGCCTTTTTGGTATTGAGCACTTTATGACAAGTAGATAAACAGTACTTGCCATTGCTTGGAAAGCATAAATTTTCAAATTGCTTGGCACTATGGTACATTTGGTGCAACTTTTGGCATTGGAAAAGCACCTAAATGGCATTGGGTATGATACCCTAGCTTGTTTGTAAAATCGTCTATTGGTAGGTGAAAAAGCACCTAAATTTCTCTCTATGTCCTTGTCTATAAATTTTACTACTCTGGAACTTGGAAGGTCAATTTTACTACTTGAGCTACGCCACTGGTTTTAGGGCATTGGTTTTAGCTGATTATCATATCAGTAGTTTTATTTTCAGCTTTCTGAATAACTTTTTACAATCATCTTGAGATAAGCTTCGTACCAAGCTGGGCGTCAACTGTTTTAAATTTTTGATAATGCGCCTACCAAATTTTTGACACTGCGCTTCAGTGTTGTGAGGGAGCACGCCAGTTTCTGTTTACTTCCTCTGCGTTGGAAGGCCAAGATGGTGGACGCTGCCGAATCTTCAAATTTTCAACAGAGCAGCGCCATTGCAATACCGCAGCGCACAAAGCTGATAGAAGAAGATGGTGAAGATTTAAAGCATGTCAGTGCTTCTCCAAACCTTAACAATGCTTCGCATAATGTTATAAAGTCTAAAGAGAGTGATGGAACCCCGCTAAACAGTCCCTGGACTTTTTGGTTCGACAGGTGTGTGTTGCGTAGGTGCAATAAAACCAGCTCCTTGCTGGGACTTTTGCTTCTTTTCCTTTATTTTTGCATGACAGAAACACAACTTGATTGAAATTAAGCATAAATACAATTCTTTCTTTGATATGACCGCGTTATCAGCTTATATAACAGTGCTGTTTTATTTTGTTACTGTGCCTGTTTGAATATTTGATGCTGTTAAATGTACAAGCTTAATTGAGAAGCGGTAATGAAAAGTTAAGGAGCTTTGAGTTAAATAAAGGTTGAAATATGTGGTATATATCATTTGGAGCATCTTCATGGCTTTATCCATTGGGTCATATGATTTGTTCATCGAAATGACCTCTCACTTTCAAAAAGGTGATGTAATGTTATATTTTAGGATGGTTGGAAAGAACAGTCCTTTGATGGGTAACCTATTTTGGAGTGGCAAAAAATTTAAAGCAAAACCATGTTGTACCTTTTAAAACATTTTCCTTTTTATACAGAAATTAAAATATTTTCCAGTAAATTTTTACAGTTTGTATTATTTTATATTGCAAAAGCTGGTCTTTAGTCAAAATATCTATGGATCCAATAATGTTTGATGGCATTTTGCTTTTTCTTAATTTTTTTGGACAATTTTTTGACAAAAAAGTTTAATATTCTTTTATAGATGCAAACATGCATTGTATTTACCATAAGGTCTTATTTTGCAAAAATATTTTTTTGGGAGAGGGGTTTTTCAAAGTTGGGAGCTTATTTAGCAGGCTAAAAGTATTACCCAGGGTGAATTTTCTTTCTCTTTGTGAAGCTTGTCAGTATGCTTGAAAATTGAGTTATATTGGGATAAACCTATTGCTGTTGAGGCAATAAACCGACCCATGGGGTCTTATTTGATAGTGGGGTTTTGTTCACAAAAATTGCTGTAGGAAGGGTGCTTATTCCTTTGGAGGGCCATATTTGGGGGTGGGCTTATACAAAGGTGGGGACCTCTTTGAGGACTAATGGTACATGAGCTAAAAGATCTATCACAAGGAGTTATGCTCCTTGTCTGCTTATCAACATGCATAAATGATTATTTAAGTAATCTTTTTGTGGTACAGAATTTAAAAATGGCTTTGAAAAAAACCAAACTTTTTGAAACATGTTACTGAAACTTTTGGTCTGACACTCGTCAGAGTATAAAACATCAAAACAGATTGAAACTCTTAGGAATTATTTTTACCCAGTTGTAGACTGGGATAGACCAATAAAAATCACAAGCATATGACTATTGAGGTTGCCCGATCAGTGCTGCTTGCCTATTAATAATGTTACCAATTGAGTCCTATAGTGAAAGCAAACTTCCTCTGTCTACACAATAATGGCTGTTAAGATGAATCCTGATTTCATCTGATTTCTGTAATTCTGTCAAAAACCATGTTCAGACATTATGCAATAGCGTGGCATTCTAGTAATTGTGCACTGTTTGCAATTTGCACATGAATGTGTACTCTTTCCAACCAGCGAGCACAGGACTTATTGAATTATATGCTTGGAGTTGTTTTGTTTCTTGATCCATCAATTCTACATCAGTTCCAATTAGCCTTCTGTTTTGCATTTAATATGTTTAATATTAGTTTGGTATTTACTTTTTTTCTTTGGTCATGGCTCTTGAAAGTTTGTTGTTTTAGAAAATAAACCTAGATTATGGATTGTCATTGGGCCAACAAGCCATTTGTTGAGAAGAAGAGCAAACAGAAATTTTCTGATAAACAACTTGAAAACCTGCCTCCCTTTGTTATAGGGTAAAAACCTGCAAGCTTCTGGTTTTAGATTAGAAAAGGAAGAGCAAGTGCATGTATGTGCACTGTAGCTTCTTTATCATTTGACACAACATTCCTTTGCTTAACTCAGAGAGGATATACAACTATAATTTTTTCTGTGGTTATGTAAAGCTGCTTAATTTTGAGAGACAACCTAAATGCCATTTGAAGTACTCAGTGTCTATGTCAAAAGGTCAGGAATTGGAATTTTTACTGCAAACAGAAGGCCAGCTTTTTTTCGGTACTTTGAAGCTCTTTTAAGACAGCATTTTCTCACCAAATTCTGAGTTGACACCACAGAATAGAAAATTTTCTCAAATAATTGAATATAAATATTCCTTGCTAAAAGCCACTCAAGGGGCATAGTTTTTCAGCTTTTCAGACTCAGAAATTAGCTTCCTAGGCATTAGGATGGGTAAAAAGCTTGTAATGTTTGATATGCAATAATGCAGTACAAATCAGCACTCAGCTGAGAAGAGAAAATTGCTGTTTAGACCTGGGTATAGATTACCTTTGGATGTCAAACTAACTTACCTTTTTAGCATTTTAGAAAATAGGCTGGAGGGCAATATTTGCTTGTAACTTTCTTTAATAACTTTGATCTCTAAATCAATCAATTTTTTTATAGATTACTTGTGAAGTTCATTGCGGCCACCCCCCTCCTTGACTGATGCACAAATAATGAAAAATTCAAATGAAATTAATTTAAAAAGGAGCTTTCAAACCCCCTGTTAGAGCATGCTAGCTCCTCCTAAGTAACAATGTGGAAAACCTTGTTCAAATTGAGTGAACAATGATCTCTTGAGAATGTGAGACCCAAAGGATTTTGTATAGGTAATGCCAGAGCCACTATTTCAAGGAATTGTTTGGAAGGGAAACTACCCCTGCTGGCCCTCCCAAGTGCTCTATCCCCGCATTAGCATTATGCTACATACAACTCATTTCTCGATTTTTAAATGCATTTGAATTGATTTAGGTACCAGAGAGACTGCACTGCTGCACAATATGAGGCTAACCTTAGAAAGCTTTATACAGTGACCACCATCGAGGTAAATGATTGGTACCTTTTTTTCTGCATTCTTAGTTAGTATTTTTTACTTGAAATTAAGCCACCATTATAGATTTTTCCCAGCTGACATGTCATCTAACATGGAGCTGGATGGCAAACTGGGTGTGGTGACACAGCCAAGTTTAAGACAATTTTAGTAAACTTCATGTGCTTCATAAATAAATAATACTAGAATCCTAATTATGGATATTGACAGATTCATGTAGCATAGCTAATCTCTGCTAAAGGAAGTCTTTAACTTAAAGAGAGATTGTTTTGAATACGTCACTGTTGTTCATGAAAAACAAGTCTGGCAATAGTTTGACGAAAGTTGGAGTGTAATTACCCCCAATACCCTCTTTTCAATTCATCCTCCACTGTCAAACATCATTATTAGATTGTATGACAAGCGTTACTTGGGCTAGAGATTTTGAAATTACTCATGTCCATTTGCTTAATCAGTTTCGATTATGAATAGATTTATCAAAGATCTATCATTTATAGGGTTTTTTCTTATTTTCTTATTAATTTATAGGATTTTCTATGGTTTTTTTATTTAGTTTAGATTCTAGGTGATGATATAAAATCCTGATGTTTTAACTTCAAGTTATTTTACTTTTACAGGGCTTCTGGGGAGTTTACAACAATATTCCAGATGTGGGAAAAATCGGTCTGGCGTCATATCATTTAATGCGCGGGGAAAGGCGGCCTATTTGGTATGATCTTCTTCAGTACAGTAAATTTTTGCTTTCTATAATTTCACATGTATTTTCAGCTCTCTGTGTTTTCGATGTACTGTAGGCAAGTGCTAACTTTTTCATTTAATGCCAACAGGGGCTTCAACACTTGCGTAAAATTCTAAAAACAATCGCCTGATTTTCAAGACTTGTTAACAGTAATCTTCCTGCAATTAGGAATTGTTTTTTTCTATTCATGCTTGACGTTTTTCCAGTCGTTCATCATACCTAGATTTTAAAGTATAGGGACCATTTATGGGGTACAGCAATCTAATTGGGGCATAGCTCCCACTTTTTGCACAGCAGAAGAATTTAGGTGTCACAATCATATCTAATGAGTTTTTAGTTCAAAGTTGCTCTCCTCCCCCAAATTTAACCTTGGATCAGACCCTCTTAATCAATAATACAGATGAGGTACCAAGTAAACATTTAGAGAGCCTTTTATTGGGCTGCAAGAAGTTTCAGTTCACTTAAGTTTGATAGATAACAAGTAGGGCTTCTGAAGGATCTTTGAAAAATATGTATGAACACAAAAACAAGTTTAAAACTTTATAATTTTTCTCACTAACTAGGGATAGCTAAGCTTTATGCTTCAGTCACAAAATTTTTAAAAGTTTAGAACGGTATGAGCTTGAATGAATATTATCCACAATACCTCCTAATTTAAATTCGAAATGTTAATTGGTTGTATATACATCAGTTTATTTTTTGATAAAATATATCTAGTTGTTTGATAAAATTTAATTCTTCAGATTTAGGGCTAAAATTTACAATTAGATTTTCGGGACAAAGTAAGGAATAAAATATGAAAAATTAATTAACGTCATTATATAGCGAAATACCTCATATGATCAAGATATTTTGAGACAGGTTCTGGAAAATTAAGTTTACAAATTTTGGACAAAAAACAGTTTATGTTGAAGAATTGCCTATCACGACAAATAATGGACAATTATTTTTACTGTACATATAATTTCTCTAGATAATTTCATACCTTTGCAAAATAATGCAGGCAAATTGCATACCTCTGACAAAAACCCTCTACCCAGTAGCTAGGATTAAAATGACCTTTCCTTATGCACATGAAATGGTTCGTTTTATTATCGTTTTCTGTTTGTGCACTGCCGTGTTTCGTATTTTCTTTTTCTGGCCTACATCGCCCGGGTATTCATTTGAAATCGGTAAACCAGACCTGCTGCAGTGGCTTTTTCATTAGTTGCAAATGAATGTTAACAAAGAGTCAGTTATTTCTGAGTTTTTCTTGAGAAATCGTCTTATCTTATTGAGGTTGAAGCATTTGTTCTCGTCACAAATTTCCTGTAGTTTCTATCGTGGTACAGGATCAATTGCTCATGCTTCATTGTAGGGAGGACGAAAATAAATGCCTACTGCTAGAGCAGCAGCTTATTTCCTTCATAGCAGTTACATTCAGCTACTAGAAACCTCGATTAGCGCGTCTGAAACGGCTGGGTCGACCGGATGGGGGTCTATGAATTAGCCCTGCTTTTAGATCTCTTCCCAGCCATTTGGTTTATTTGTAAAGAATCAATTTATTACTTGTTTCCGTTCAATTTAGGCATCCTACAACAATTCAACTATTTTGTTGCTCTTTCATTCGTTACTTTAACTTCACTTTATTTGCTAGTTTTCATTAGTTTTACTGTAAAGTTGATTGTAATTCTTTGTAATTTCTTGTTAGGTGAAATGAAAAATTATTGTCTTAGATCTTATATCTCCTGTTTTACATCTCATGTCTTATGTCTCATGCCTTGTATCTTATATCTTAATTCGTATGTCTTATTTCTATGTTATATGTCTGATGTCTTGTATCTGAAGTCTTATATCTGGTGTCTTGTGTCTCATGTCTCATGCTTATATCTCATGACTTATGTCTTATGTCTCATGTCTCATGTCTCATGTCTCATGTCTCATGTCTCATGTCTTATGTCTCATGTCTCATGTCTTATGTCTATGTTTTATGTCTCATGACTTGTATTTGATGTCTTATATCTAGTGTCTTGTGTTTCATGTCTTATGGCTCATGTCTTATCTCTTATGTCTTATGTCTTATGTCTTATGTCTTTGTTTTATGTCTCATGACTTGTATTTGATGTCTTATATCTGGTGTCTCATGTCTTATGTCTCATGTCTCATGTCTCATGTCTTATGTCTTATGTCTTATGTAGGGAGGACGATTGCAATGTCAGAGGTGGATATTGGAAAATGAGATGCAGCAAAGATAAGACAGTAAGCGAAATCATCAAGTTGTCTTTTTAATTTGTTCTATATGTTAGGTTTAGAGGTGAAATTACTTTGCAGAAGATTAAGAGAAAAGGGTACAATGTTTTGAAATAGCAAAGGCAAACGGGAAGTGGGTGCTCTTACTAAAATGTCGAAAGTATGAAACAGTATAATTTTTTTGGCTTAGCAAAACTTTATACTCGTCACTACATCCTTTTGATGAATGCTACCCTCCAATCGAAAGTTTGAGAGCTCCAAATCATATTGGGACATGATTCCCAATCCAACACCAGTCCTTCCTCTTTGTCTGCCATTTATTTATGGGTTAAGGGCTTGAGAAATGAATGATCCATAATTTTTAGCTTTAGCCAGCGTATGGATTTTATTTATTAGCCTGATTTCGTTGCAGCTGTAAATTTTCTGCGGCTGCTGCCATTATCCTGCCTGAGCTGGTCTCAGACAAAACATCTTAGAGATTAAAACCGTTTCATACATTTTCTTCTCAACTTTCTATCTCCTAATAATGTTTGATTATGAAACCTGAAAAAATAAATTATGGTAAGTTCTATATTTAACGCCCTGGTGTTGATGAAATCATTGCTTTCCAAAAAAGGCTTTTAATAAAGGGAGACATTGAAAGAAAGGATGTTAATATAGTCATAAGACACAACTATTGTTGATCAGAGAGGCGTTTGGTAAAAATTGAGAATATTGAGAGTTTCTCGTGTTTTATGGAGGTTTTGAATGTATAACGTACAATATTGATATAATCTTGAGCCATAGTTTCGCTTTGTATTTTGTTTGAATTATGTCGAGGGTATGGACGCTTTGACACCGCCATCTACGTCACTCTATACCTCAGCCTCTCTGTTAGCGAAAGATTTTTGCTCAGTTGATATTCTCAGTGAAGGCAGGGATGTGCCGGTTGGGGTACGTGTCCCCTCCCCCCCCCCCCAATGTCTGCAAGCTTCAAGCAAGTTTGTCATGCAGCGGGAACCTTAGCATTAATTATGAAGTTTTACCAAATTTCAATAATTCATTAATTCATTTTTTATTGGTCATGGCTGGTGATTGGTCAAAAGTTATTAACAAATTACAAACAAGCTGAGGCTGAGGTATTGTAAAATGTAATTTTGAACAACGTTTTATCTAAAAAATGAGGACTTTTAGCCATGTTTGGATGCTTTTTCGGCAAATATTCAAACTTGTCAGAAAATGAAGATTATCTCACTTTGTTGGCAAATAAGGCCTGAACACCTCCTTAGAGCCAAAAAGCTAGCAATCGCACTGTATACAGCCTATTAGATTAAGAATAAATTAAGAACAATCCACCCTCATGTTGTTGGAAAAACAGTCAACCTGACCTGAGCTCGAATTCACTGGTTCGTACAAAAAAAGGGTAACAGTTGCAAATAATAACAGTTGCAAATAACTTGCTATAAGGAGCAAGCTAACGACTATAAGAAATGACTGCAAGAAATGACTGCAAGAAGTTTTCTGAGATGGATTTTAGGCTTATATGAAGGGTTTTGTCGCAAAAATTTTCTAAGGGCGACATACATTTGGGCAGCTTATGGCTTTTAAGAGATAAGTTGTTTATCGTTAGAAAGGAGGGGGTGTATTTTGGAGGAAGGAGGTGTATTTTGGAGAGAGAAGGCGTATTTTGGAGTGAATAGGGTATATTGGAGGGAGGCGTTTTTGATGCAAGGCGTTTATTGTATGTTATCTTGCATTGTTGGCAGTCTCGGGAAACGGCAGCAAGGCGGCTTTCCACCGTCTGTTACCAGTCATTGCCTTTAGCAGCTGCAGGCAGCTTGTGGCTTCGTGGAATACATACTTCAGTTTTAAGTCTCTAATTTCTTGAATTATTCAAATCTTGGCTAAATATCTTTAAAATAATCAATTGAATATCTCTGAGTATGAAGAAGTTTTAATTCTATCATTTAATTTTATTTGGGACTTTTTAGCCATATAGACTTAAAAGAGGACATAATAGCAACCTGCCACACAGGTCATACAAACTTAGAAGTCCCAGCCTTTGTCTTTTGGACTGCGATTTCATCTGCTATTTCCCTAGACTAAGAATTGGAAATCTTTTATTACCTCGGGGTCAAATTCAAGATCTTAGTGTCATGGTGTGTCAACACTGCCCTGGACGGATTGAGCCAATGTAAAAGCATGTTAGTATCCGTGTGTCATTTCGTTTAAGTGCAAGAACTCCAAACCTAAAACTTAGCAAACCCCGTCCCTGCCTTAAACTACGCCTGTAGCCAAGAGGTTATAAAATGTGTACACCTCCCCTCGGAAATAATTGGTACGAACACATATGTAAGAACACAAGAACACATATTTATGGGATGGTAGAGCTGTATTATGTACTACAGTCACCTCGACAAGGAAAATACTCAACTTACCCCCGTTGCTAATCAAACCCCCACTTGCAATCCCCCACTGATCACTAGAAGCACGGGGGAAGGCCAATAAGAACGAGTAAGCTTCAGTCTCCAAATCCGAGCCGAGCCTTCTTTTTCACAAAAAACTTTGTAAAATTTGGTACATCATCCAAAAGATGGATAAGCCGTTTGTGGACACTGTATAATTATAATTCTGTCGTTAAACTTCAGTTTAAAATCTGTAGAATGACGGGAAATTCTGCATGTTACTAATTGGGTAAATAAAGCGAATCTTTCGTAGAGAAATTTTAGTCAGAAAACGCAGCTATGAACGAATTATGTCGACGACCATTTTGTGTTCATTTCCTGTTGGCATTATATGTTGCTTCTCGTGAAATTGAACGCAAAATAACCTTTTTTGTGGTTATTTCCTCAAGAAACTATTTTTATTCTAAGATGCTTTTAAAAAGGATTTTTTTCTAGTCATCACTTTGGAAGGAATTACTTCTTGCAATAATTGGGGAAAAATTGTCAAGTTTTGTTCATAGCGGTAAGATATGTTAGCAATTATCGAATTAATACACTACACTAAAAAACAGAATCGTATCGCAGCACACTATTGGTATACTTTTTCAAACTATATTCCGACAGAAGTACTATCTATATGCTAAATTGCGATTCCACTTATTAGTGCGATCTTGGGGTTATTAGTACTAAATGCTTATTCTGTTCTTCTTTTTCTACTTTTTAAATTTTTTAGAAGATAATACCTTAATTTTTTACCATAAATCATGCTCAGTGTTTTTACTTTCCAAATGTACTAAAGTATTTGGCTTGTACTAAAGTTCCTATTTAGAACTGATTTTCCCATTTAAAAAGACTGTCAAAGTCATTGAAGTTTTCTTTAGAAAAGTTTTTCTAAATAATTTTTGTTTACTGCTATCATTTTTAAAGTAAACGAATATTTTCCAACTAAAATCCTCACAAACCTTTTTCCTTTCACCTGTTCAAAAATGAATTTTCTTCTTTGTTCTAAATAACTTAATGTTTTTGAATAATCATTTCACTTTCATTATGAATGCAGAAGATGAAATCGTTGGTGTTAGTGTAAGCATCCGTGACAGAGATGACATAATACCTTTTCTTCTTTGTTCTGAATAACTTAATATTTTTAAATAATTATTTCACTTTCATTATGAATGCAGAAGATGAAATCGTTGGTGTTAGTGTAAGCATCCGTGACAGAGATGACATAATACCTTTTCTTCTTTGTTCTGAATAACTTAATATTTTTAAATAATTATTTCACTTTCATTATGAATGCAGAAGATGAAATCGTTGGTGTTAGTGTAAGCATCCGTGACAGAGATGACATAATACCTTTTCTTCTTTGTTCTGAATAACTTAATATTTTTAAATAATTATTTCACTTTCATTATGAATGCAGAAGATGAAATTGTTGGTGTTAGTGTGAGCATCCGTGACAGAGATGACATAATACAAGTTTGGAACCAAGATGCAAAATATAGTGAACAAGCAAGGGTATGTCAGTGGTTCCATTCCACACTTTATTTTATCACGTAACGGTTCTTGAAAATTGGTCGAGAAAACCCACGATTTCCCACACCCCTTCGCTCTATCTGTACAACTGTTTGTCATATTTGTGAAAAAGGGCTAGGGGTCTTAATTGTGTTAACTATTTGCCTAATTTAGACTACCCGGGGTACCAGAGAAATGATACCTCAAGAAACCGCAAACACGGTATTGGTATTTCTGTGTGTAGATTTAAACCATTTTTCTGAGACTTAATTATAGAGACTCTGGCACCCACGGTAGTTAAGACTAGAGAGATGGCAGTATATTTACAAGTGAAAAGGAGGCTGTTAATAATGCGTATCATTCATGTGTATGATATATGTGCCTAATTTATGTGCATAATTAATGTGCATAATTAATGTGCATAGCTAGAAGTCCACGAATAGCCTATGGTTCCCCCCTTATTGTCAAACCTTTTTGTGTAAGCCTTCCATACTAATTTTTAAACAAACAATGCCATTGCTTCATGCATCAATTTTGTGTTTCATCGTCAATGTTAGAAGACCAAACCCAATTTTTTTCATTCTTTACGACCCTTTAAGCAAGAAGCTAGACTTTAAAAACCTTAAGCAACATCACTGGCAGTTTGACAGAGTTCTAAACTTGTTTTTCCTCTCGCCCTTGAATTTCTTTTACAACAAGACAATATATACAACAGTTTTCTTTCAAATTTTCTTCAACGTTTTGGCAAGTGCCTCAAGACGCTATTATCTTCTATGGGTCAACTAAAAGCTCCTTGAGTGTGTGGCTCGAAGAATAGAAAAAACTCTAAATACAGCATTAAAGATTTCTTTTGTAAGGCTTGCAGGGGCCAAACAGTGTTAAAGTCGCTCGAAACTATGTTAGGTGTTTAATATTTAATGGTTCGTAGGCCAACTTCTTTGAATGATTATACGGCGGAGGTGTTTTATCTGCAAGATATGTGACCTGAATTTCAGTTTTTCTCACTATCGGCAACTTAGTCCTACGCAAATATCAAGATAACGAGCAACAAATTCCAAATCATATCAACGAGAAAACCATATATTTCATTCAATTTGAATTTGTTTTTACTATGATTGAAAGGCAGAGAAGAACGTGCCAAGCCATGAAAGTCCAACACAGAAATGTTTGAATAATCTGTATCTGCTGTTATGTCTGCGAGCTTTCAGTCTAAGGTTAGAAATAAAAAAGGGTAAATAGGCTGCTACCAACGGAGGGAGAATCGAATAACTAAAGGTAGAGCAACCAAGCCATATAACGTAAAGGGGGTTTGATTTAAATTGCAGAGAAAACATGTTTCTTGAAGTATAATCCGATATCGAGTAACACCAAACGAAAACAGTGTCGTGAAATTTAGGCCACCATTCGAAATGAGTAAAAAAGTAGGTTGACATACAAGGTAATTATCCACGTTTCAGGAAAGATCAAGAGAGTTGTTTGGTTTAAAAGGGCCGGTTTTAAAAGGAATTGGACGTATTTTAAGAGCTAAAAGTTTGGTCCTTAGATCAAGTCTTAGGATGTCAATATATACACTGAAATATATATTTTAGTAGTTTGATACGAGCAACATATGGCGTTCTGTAATACTATGGAGTATTTTCTTAAATGTTTCTGATTGATTTTGTGACACAATTAATATTCTTTGGGTCTGAAAGTCAAAATCAAACTCTCTACTCGTCGTGTTATAAAAACGACAAACCATAAGATTTAGCAGCTTGTTGCTAGACCATTTTTGGTGCCTTATCGAAATCCTCTAAGCTTTTGAATCAAGTCGTTTTAATTATTTAGAAAACGAGGTGGTTTTCGACTCTTTTCTGCCTCAGGTACCTTCGGTGTCTTAACTCGATTGACACCTCCGAAAAACAGATGAATAGTTTGTTTACAGATACTGCAACTATCTTGGCTTCAAGGATTTCCATGTAAAGATATCTTTTAGTATTCTTTTAAATAAGATGTTGTGATAAGATTGCTCCGGCCTGTCTATCGAAGAAACACCTGTGTGCAGTGATAAGCTGGTAAAAACACAATACACACTGAAACACTAGCTTTGATTTGCGCCAAATATGGCCCGACGGCCTGTAATGAGATGAAGCTTTAAAATCCGAAGCTGCGGTGCGGTGAGCCTCACAATCGATTGTTGTGGTTGTGCACGAAGGACATTGTTTAAACGTTGTGCACTGGTCTTCAAAAAGTATTTCAAAATATACGAAATCGTAGTGTTAAGCAAGAAGTTCATATTGTTTTCGCTGTTTTCATCATTTTTAAAGACTCAGCTTTTTCCTAAAGTATGGTTCTGTGAAAGTGGTTTAGTTTTATAAATTTTCGTTCTATTTTGAAATCTCGCAGTACCAGAAGCTTGTTTGTGCACATTTGTAAATTATTCCATGTTTTTTGTCGCTTTGAATGCCAGGCCTCAGTGAAAGAACACTATTTTCGCTTCTGTAACACGAAATCGGATAGAATTTCTTCCTATCGAAATCGGATTGAATTTACTTCCTCGACACACGATATTTTACGTAGCTTTGAGGCCTATTTTATTTGTTTCTCTCTCCAAGTGCAGCTACACAAAATACAAAGCAGACTGTTATATGACTTTACTTGATGAAAAGGGATCAGTTTCTAGAGAACCCGATTGCAACAGTTTCGTGTAAATGCAACCCCGATCTATTATCAAAAGTCTTTCAATGGGAGATGACTCAGGTTTTATCCAACTAGCATGTATTTCGCCTTAACGTACGGCTGAGATGGGGAGACAGGGGGCAGGGGGAGGTAGACTGCGGTATGGCTTTCAATCGACTTTCCTATTGTTTTGGTGAGATTTCCCAAACGCGTAAAATATTTCGTATGTCACAAATATGTCAGTTTTTATGATGCATACACCAAAAGAAGATCATAATAACAGTTCTAAAAAAAACAGGTAGAGGCTGAGAATGGTTCTTCAAATGTCCCTTTCCTGAAACCTGCCCCCTTGTCCCCGGATAGTTCCATCGTCAATGACACCTTCCATTTGCAATCAAATGACCTCATTTTGTGTACATCGCCACCTGCTCTTGCTGGCGCCAAAGCCGCTAGTCATGTTTACGATGTTCATGACAGATCATGGCTACATCTTAATCAAACAGTTCTTTGCAAAGCAGGTTTTCCTTGAGCATCTGTTTTGGCCTGAAAGCAGCGTTTCCTTTGTCGCATCTAGCCAACTACAGGAACGCGTTTTGCCAAAAATACCCTAAAAGGTTTATCAGATTTGAGGTTTTACAATTTTCAAGAACCTAGAAATTCATTTTGATAGATTTGATTGGGAGATTTATTACTTGATTAGGAGGCCTGTTTGACCTCTAATCTACATGTCTGGGTCAATTTGCAATTATGGTACCTGATGTTAAAAACATGGCTACTGAATAACTTCCATTGCCAGCTGTTTTTATAAAAGTTTTATTATTAGAGCTTTGCTTCTTTTTTATTTGTAAATATATAAGTTGATTAAATTTATGTCTTTTCTTTACATGTTTGACTTTTACTATAAATTCAATCTTTCTTTTTATTATAAGTTCTATTTATTTTCATAATTTTGTTACAAATTAGTTTGAGATATTGTCAAAAGGGTTTTTTTATATTTAATCTCTTGATAGCTTGTTTTTTTACTTTTTATAAATTGTAATGAATGTTTTAATTGGATGGCCTCTTGAAAACCAGAAGATACTGAAGGGCAACTCTCCTTAAATGAGATTCAGTATATTTTGTTTCTCATGATTTGATCTTTAACATCGAGAGCATTTATTTATTAAAGTTACTTAACTTTAAATTGTGTTTTAAGAGTACCAAAAACGAGACAGTGTCGAAATGCCACTAAGCAAACATTTAGGCCTATTTTGTTATCACGAAGTACCTAATTTTTTCTTATTTCACATCCATTACTTTTAGTCATATATTCTCCCTTCCAGTATTAGTTTGGTACTTGCTTCATGCTCGTCCCTCCCCTTCCCTCCCCTTCCCTCCCCCCTCCCCTAATCGTGATTTAACGATATGAGCTTTGTTAACTTTTTGCTCTAAGGTTGAATACCCAAGCACTACTTTTAATCGCCAATTTGCTTTAATCATCAATAATTACATTTTTATCAATAATTTTATCAACTCCATGTTTTGCTCAACAAATCTGTTTGCTTCTAAATCTATTATACAAATAAAATTAACTTGTATCTTGAGTAGTTGTATATCGAAGAGATTAAAAAGAATGTCTTGTGCCAAATAAACTTTGTTCTTTTTATCTTCAAGGTTATTGAGGCTATATATGATTTGGATCAAGAATTGACTCTTCATAACTCTTTCTACAAAGGTATGATTTGACAGATTTTGCTGCCTGATAATTTATAAATTATCTAAAGATTTCGGGAAATTGAAGATAATGCTTATGTGGTACAGTTTTAAGATTCAATTGTAGTTGTGGTTTTGGGCAAAAGTGGAGCTTTTGTGCTTAAAGGTCGCAAACAGCCGCAGATGTCTCAATTGCAAGCAAGTAATTATATTATAAGACGAGGCCAATGTATGGTATTGTAGCAATGAAAATTGCTGATGACACTCACTTAGGCTAAACGTCTTTGCCAATACATTCTGACCTCATTATTTTCGGAATTAAGATACCCTAATAAACCAAAGACTGTTAAAACATTGAGGCCACTTTTTTAAGAATGAGTTTATTATTTACAAGCGTGGAAATTAAATCTACGTGACGAGTCTATTGCACGTGCATTTCAAAGTAATGCTGATTCCAGCTTCTAATTCTGAATATAAAGTCATTCTCTATTTGCATATAAAGCACAACTCTCCCACACAATTCAATAGACATGTTGATATTAACACGTGGATATTGATATGACCTTAACAAATATTATATAAAGCAACATTGCATTGTTAGGCTAGATAGAGTTATGAATCAGACGCCATAAGCAATGTGAGTATACTAAGTTTTATTTACGTTTGTAGCTTAGTCACCTGTGCTTCGATGAAGACACCCTATTGCTATTATTAACTTTTCAGCTCATTGTGACCACTCGGCATTTGAATCGGGAAGCAAGCGTCCCGGCCAACAACAAGGGGGGCCACGCAAATATGAAGGATTTTCCCACACACCACCAAGCTATGGCTCATCTCCACGGCAATCTTTTGGTGGAACAAGGGACTTTGCTCCCCAGAGGTATGGCTCGTCACCAAGGCAGGTGTTCGGTGGTGCAAGAGACGCTGCGAGGTAACTTGTTTGTTATTTACAATTTGTTTGATAAGGAGGCCATCGGTTGTCTTGGCAACAATGCGGGACCTGACTAAGAAGTGAATGGACTGAGGTTCTTAATAACAGACTACCTGTTTCCTTCGTACCGCAATTATTTTGAGAAACTGCAGGTGTAATTTTTGTAGCCGATACGATAGCTTCAGATTTAAAAAAATTGTGACCGCATGTGTACCTATATTTCGTCTTTATAAAGCCTAGTTGTTAGTGAACAAGTCCTTCTTAGAGTAATGTTATGCGCAGGGCTTCAATAAAACGCATGTAGAAGAATTATGCTAGGAAATACGTTTCTCTTTGGCAATACATTTAAACTTTTCAAAATGAAATACTCCTGCTACACGCATTTCAGGCAGGTGTTGCCAAAGATAATGCAGCTTTTGTTTGGAATCCTTTGAAACTATGTATCCTTAATACCTCTGTCAAATAAGGCTCAGATATCTAGCCTAATTCTTTAAATACAAAAATACAGATTTCCTAATACCAAGTCTGTAGTTTAAGTTCTTGGTATTGCCAAAGATTGTTTCCTCTTGTTTTATATCGTGCCTTGAGAATTTCGTGTATAGTGTAGAATCAAATTTGCTTTCTTAGATTTTTTAACGTCCTTTCATTAAATTAACTGATATTCGTTTTCGCAGTATTACTGTGGCTCCTCTGTATCTTACGCCGTGTGGAATTAATCTTGATCAGCCATTACGTCATAATTAGTGTGACCTCATTATAATTATCTCCGAACAGATATTAATACATTAAAAATTCAAAACGTTATATCAGAAAGTAGTTAGATATAAAAAAATTCACATAAATGTAATGTTTGCCTTTTGATTCCTTTGTATGTTGTTTTTAGCATTTGAATGTATCGACTGTTCAAAGTGGTCAAAAATTCCTGTTCTCAAATGAAGATGCATATAAATGTAATGGAATCACCTTATAATGATAATTTAATTTAATTCCGTTTAATATAATAAGATTGAGTAAATTATTTGTCAATTTTTTATTAGTTAAAAATAGCTGACTGATCTCCAAAAATTCCTCTCCAATAGGATTAAGTACAGTTAAGTCACAATATTGCACAATCCTATTGGTTTATATTTTGCAGAATAGCCAATCAGATCGATGAGTACAATCATAATGAATTGGCAATTTAGGCTGATTCGCCTTTTGTTCTCGACCAACATGGTCTTTATGAGTATCTAGCATTTTACCGGAGAATTGTTTTTTATTGTCAGCTATCAATGATAAACATTTTAATCCCAAGCATTTTTATCTAACAGTTAGTTTCTTGTTTTATGCACTGAAAAGGCCACGAGAAATGACCACGCCCTGGGCGATACCGTTTATTTGCCATTTTAAAAAAATTAATTTTTCATGATGTGCTGTATTTTTCTGTTGTTATCATTTTATCGTGATGTTTAATAAATTCTAGACATAAGAGCAGTCAATTTTTTGAAAGAATTTTTTGAATATCTGCTTTTTCCTTTCAATTATCGCTGCAAGATTTTTTCCTTTTTTATCATCATTGAAATAATTTAAAACATATCAACGATTACATTGGATAATTTGCCATTGATATTTGTTCCAGGTTGCCAAATAAAAACCGTTAGCAAATAAGGGTAAGATGGTCCTAAGAGTGTTTGACCATTGTCAATCATAAGACTGAAGATGGGGCTCTCTCATCATTGGACCATTTATTTTTGAGCTGCGCCAATCGCAAAGACGGCCATAAATAAAACCTAAGCCGTTTTTGAGGGGGTTAAGAAGAAGAAACAATGGCCTTCCGCCGACTAGCAATACCTTGTTCATGCAAAAGTCGCAAGCCATACGGCCATTAACTAATGCACGAAGAAAAAAAAGAAGTTAACCTGCCTGCAAACATCTGAAAATACTTAGACGTGGATTGGGTAAGCAGGGTCGCAAGAAAAAACCTTTGCTCTCCACAGTCCAACTGCAGGTTGTCTTGTAACGTGTGAGAATGAAATTTTGCCAAAATAACGTTTATACGCTCAAGGCTAATGCACAATTGCGCGCTTGGTGCTTACTCGAGCACTGCTACAATAAACACAAATGTACAATCTGTGCCAAAAACAAAAGCCCAAGGGGTACCGAAAAGGCGCACCCTGTCACATAATAAACGTGGCTAAATTTCATTTAATCAAGCTTTGAAAGCAGGAAAAGAGCCTACGTCATCTGGCCTATACTTTTATTGACATTTGCAGTTTTGCTGTAAGCATCAACCATTGTGGATTGTAGCATGAACTAGGAATCTCAGGGGGAGTATGGTTACTTTGCATTCATTGGCTTGTTTCCCCTTTGGGACAAAATTATTGGTAAACTGTACTTAAAGAAGTCTAGTGAGACATGTCTTTGTCAATGAGCGCCATGGCGTTACTTGACTGGTCAGGACTTGCCCCAGTCCAATGTAATCCTCAACGTAGCGTTCGAGAAAATCTCACGATTCCTGCCAATTATCAGTTATTTTTTTGCTTCCAAAGTTGTTATGGTTGGTTAATATGTCCTTCCCTGCACGTAAGTTTACATTTTCGTTATTTTAAAAGTTTCTTTTACGCCGTTTACAGGGTCCATACTTCGGACTCAGCGCATAGGCAAAGTGACAAGTCGCCATTGCCCAAAGTAAGGTTTTATCTCCTTCGTAAAGGGGAATCCAGTTAAAGTCTCACATTATGGTGCATGCTAGTCCGTGACTGTTAACGGAAGGTTCGGGTTAGCGAGCAATATTTCAAAGCATATTTGGGTCCAGGTTTTGAGTGTCTGTAAGTACTTGTGTGACTTGGCGAAAACATGGCGGTCACAATCAAGGACGGCGAGGAAGGCTTGTTTAAAAAAAAGAAAAATTAATGCCACACCGAAACCCCGCCTTGTTTTCAGTTTTTTTAAGGGCGGTTGGGAGGGTTTTGCCCGGAAGGTTGGAACACAATTTTCTGCTACATTTCAAAACATATCAAGATGTTGCGTGGTTGTTTGTTTTGAGCAGAGGTTTGTTTCCATGTTTACAAATGCCTCTGTCTTGATTCAGGATCAAGCGCTTATAATCAGAACCTCAAATTTGACAGGCAATGTCTAATTTCAAAGGAAATAAGAAGAAATGTGCCGCGAAATTCAATGTGTTATTTCGTGTTTACAGGTGCTGCCAATTACTTTTCAGCTCGCAATACACAAACATCTTTGAAGTTTTAAATTCTTCCACCTGCAGATTTTAATCTTTCCGTATCTGTAAGCGGATAAGCTCCATTCATATGCAGAAGTGATCGGTCTTTCAAAACCGTTCGCGGGGTTCTTTTGAGATATCAAGCAGACCCACTTAGAGGGGGCAGACTGCCCCAGGCCCCGAGCCGGGACAAGTTATACCAGAGCTCCTAACAATAACAACAACAGGAACAATCACAGTCTTAATTACGTCATAATGTATCCCACCTTTCTTTGTGCCCAGGGCCCTGGAAAGCTAAGAAATTTCATTAAAGGACCGTTGATTTATTTCATATTTCGTTTACTTGTCACCGTTGAAAATGTTCTATAAGAATTTGGAAAGCGCTCTTTTGTACAAACATGTTTATGTTCTTTTTTGACGAAGCGACCCGCATCCAGCAATACAATTTAATAAAGAGAATGCCAAAAGATATATACACACGATATACACAATTTTCCTTTTTCCTCAACCTTTAACTTCTATCACGGCTCTTTTACGAACTTTACACTTCTCTTCTCAAATCTCTACTACAGTCACACCTCTCGCCTTTTCTTACGGTTCTCTGGTTACACGTGACCTACAAAGTAAGTTTCAGTTCTCTCACACCTCCACACTTTCGGGTATTTTCTAAGCATCAGCTGCTCCTTTGGCCCACGAGATTATGGATGCGCAAACTCCCGAGGGGCTTTAGATACATAGAAACAAAAGCAGCGAATATTAAGGTTCGCGAATAAAAGCGTCTAAAAATACAGAGTCCGGGAAAATGTTCATAATTCTTCCCAACAATTTCTTTTTCAGAGAAACAAAAAAAGTTGGGTTTCCTCAATTCCTGTCATTGGCCCTCCGCTTGTTCCTAAGCCATCATAATGCTGCAATTATAGGGAAATTTTCGATATTTTCTGCAACATTTAGAAAACTATAGACCCAAAGACTATCAAAGATCTTAGAAAATGAGATGCCAAAAAGTCACCAGATATCTTTCTATCAAGCTCGAATTTCCAATACACTTTGCAAATGCAAAAGGGAACAACATTTTCACTAGAAAAATTCGAATGCCAAAGACATTCAGTAATCCTGAGGCTTGATGTTTAAGGTGCTCTGACATTTTAGAAGCTGATGTAAACTTTTGGTACAGTTTGCGTACATTTAAGTCTTAAGATTTTGATATGCGCGAGACAGGTTTTGTAGGTGGGACAAAACTTGATTTGAATGTAGAATTCCGCAACAACAACAAAATCATTGAGTTTTCTTTTCACCGGCTTGGCCTTCTCTTCTCACCCATCAACCTATAGTTACATTTTATTCTCTCAACTGAAAATCTATATTTGAAAACTCAAACATCCAATCGATCTCTCTAATTATTTATTTTGTTTTAAAATTGTCCAGAGACTTTCAGGCGTCCCTTTTGCTTTTATTGCCCTTCACCTAGGAGAAGCAAAGTATACCGTTGATATATATATATTTTTGACGATATTTGAAAACCGCAAAGATTAGAGCTTTCCAGCCAAAATGGAAACTTTACCTTAGATTTTAGCCCAATGGTAATATAGATATTTAGTTCAACTAAGTACATCAAATGTTTATGGCCTAACAGGCCCATCGCAACCGGGGGGCTGGGGGGCTGCAGCTCCCCCCCCCCCAATAATCGTCAAACTGTAGTATGTTTCCTTTATAACAGTGTACTGAACGAGAAGGAAAACAATGGGCAGCCCCCCCCCCTCCTCCCCCCCTCCCCCCCCCCCCCCCCCCCCCCCCAATATGAATTCCATTCCGATGGCACTGCCTAATGCATTTACAGATGGCATCACTCTTTCCAAGCAGCGTACAGGATATTTTAGAATGTTGGGTTTTAGGGATTTGGTAAATTTCCCTCAAAGCAAAAGGATGTTCCTCTAAGGTGTAAGATAATTTTACGTATTGATATGCCCCTCGAATTAATTTGCCCATAACTATGCTGGCATCATAACATCTATAGGCGTTAATTAAACCTGGTTTAAAATTAAAACCTGGTTTACTTAACGCCTATAATAGATCTTATGTGTCAAAGATCTGACCCATCTGTACCAATGCCTCCCGCTTGGAAAATACCTGCCTGGAAAATGCTCTCTGACATGTGTCTTCTGCATGAAGAACCCATTGCTTCGTAATTAAAAGTGATGATTAATAGCCTAATAAGAATGAAACACATCGGGATAAAAGGTAATTATCCTGAAAATATGTCCATCATGAAAAAAGCTTTCACACTTTTGTTTATAGGTGAATATTACCTAACTCATTACGGAAGTTACAATTGCACTTAGGTGTAAAGTAAAACGAATTCAATGCAGCAGGCCATTCCATTTTACATTTCAGTTGAACTATCAGTTAACATAACTTAATGATCCAAATATCAATACAGAGCTTAAACATTTACTTCAACACATTTAATTTTGTAAGTCAAACGGGGGAAAAATGTTGAGACAGCAAGTGCCTATGGTCAGAACAATTATAAAATTAAGAACAACGATTCTTATGCCTAGGCCATGTGAGGACGTAAAACAAGAGATTATTTGAACACGATAAAATATTTATCTGTAAAATGCTTTATACTGTAATTTTGTCATCACATATGCAACATAATCTTTGAAATTTTTCTCGCAAGAAACCATTTATCGCAACTGTTGGAGACAAAAATCGTTAGCATGATGTAAGATTTAGGCACAGCCTGGACGATGAGGTCAATACCTTTTGGACCCTACTAAAAATCATCTATTAAAAAGTCATAGCTCCGCTTAGCGCAAACCAACTTAGATTCTTAGGCAAAAATTTTTGACTGAGACACAGAAGACTGTATTTAGAGCATTGGCTTCAACCTGGGCAGATGGTTAATTTGCAAGAAAATTTGAGAAAATGGCAACTTTATTTCACCATAAACATTATAGAGCTTGAATTGAATATGACTAGCTCATTCTTTTTTGTTTTTAGTGAAAATTGCCACCTCTAACATAGATAAATCGAAGTAGTTGGGTTCGGTTTCAAACAGGTTGAAACATGACCGCGATGCTTTGCCTTATTTTATTTGTTTAGGGAACCAGTGGCAAAGAAAATATCGACAATTGGCATAACCTTCAATCTAAAGCTGAATACACTCTGTTTGACTTACAAATATAGTGACTACAAAAGTGTATTCGATATGTTTCTTTTGATACATGCGCCATTATCGTTACCATGGCGACAAATGTTTACGGCCCTTGTTACCAAACGACCGGCTATTGTGGACGATCGCCGACAATTGCCTTTTTTCGCAAGATGGCGATTGTGCACGATGGCCCAAGAGGAATGACAGTTTTAACTCCAATTAGAAAATGTCCCTTGTGGGAAAAATTAATTAGTTGTCACTGACTTAAAATTGGGGCTACGTTACCTTTAGAAACAAGCTTATCCACTTCTTGTTTTCAGTTGCTATTTTGAGTAGAGAAATAGTAAATTTGGGTTAGGCCTACAGTGAATGTAGACCCTACATAGTACACTTAGTGAACGATAAATCTATGGTTTATCTTTCCTTTTTGGTTGGCCATTGCGACAGCTTACACTTTATCACAGAATAAGAATAATTCGTGATTTCATGGGCCTTTCCATATTCGTGGAACCGATAAATTGTTTAATGATAAGATTATGCAGAAACGCGGAATCTGGGAGCAAAGAGAGAAAGAGTAACCCGGTAGAAATTAGTCCATTGTAAAAAATTAGGACAGCGAGAAAAATTGTACTTCCCAGAAAGATTTTTATAATAACATCTTGTTTGAAAAAATTGAAAATTTTAATGAAATATCAATTGTCTAAAGAAAAAATAATCCCTGCAACCGAGAAATTTTTCGTATGTTCATTTGTGACGAAGAATAAATAAGCTTGTATATACTCTTGATACGTAAAAAGTTCAAGAAGATGTTTTGTTTCATTTTAACACGTTTTTGTGTTAAGCTGGGTAAGTAATAGGGACTGCCTAATGATGGTTTTGAGGGCCGTGGCGGAAATGATTTTCGTATTCAAAAGGGAACTACGAACAGAGTGGTGGCTTGTTTTACCCCCCAATCAAGAATACGTAATTGATAAAGTAGAATACTGATGTGCATTCAGTGGTGTAGTGCTATCAAAATAACAAGGGGGTACTTGCACAAAATGTTGCGAAAATCAATAGCAAAAGTAGAAATTTGCCAATTTTTGGCATCAACAAGGGAGGCTCATACCCCTGAGCCCCCCTAGCTCTACACCCCTGTGTGCATTTATTGGAGAGCAGAAACCACTAAAGCCCCCATTGCTTCTGACCACCTTCCAATGAGCCATATGAGAGCAATGTAACTTTTGCCGAGTTTCGTTGCTTTTTTATAATTTGAGGCTCGAATGTTGTTAAACATTGCTCCTATTTCAACATTGAATTTTTTCTACCACATAATGTATTAATTGTTTCTAAGACCATAAAAAATCAGTTCTGTGTAACGTTTTTGGTAGAACGGTAGCTTTGGTGATAAAACCTGCTCTGCTTTGTAAACATACGAAAAAATTTTCAAAATCACATTGTTTTACCTCATCTAATATTTCACCAGAGGGCTTGGCACGTTCTTATGGTTTAGAATATTCTTAATTTTTGGCAAATCGAGTCCCGATGTTCTTATGAAGAGTTCTCTGAAAAAGAATGTACGTCATATTCGAAATCGACAAATGAGGCCACGTTTTCTAAATGCTGTTTGGCCCCAAGCTGCTCATCTTCTGAAGAGCCCCTGTTGAATATAGCAGCAGGTTGCCATCGAACTCCCAACCAAGCTTCAAATATATGGATAAGGCATAGCTGGGTGAAATTATAAGAGTCGACTATCAATACAGAATATATCTCATATCGTGTTGAAGTTGATCACCAGTTCGGTAATTGAGCAGCAATCAAATCTTTATACGGGTACCAGAATAGAGGCGCTTTCAACTGAATTAGTAAACAAGCTAAACTGCTGAAATGATTTTTCTCGTCAAACAATTGATGATGTATCATCGCTTGCAGGCGTACAAATGAATGCAGCGTGGCCTAAACTTTTCTATAAAAACATTGCAGGGTGTTTGACAATACAAGTTCTGAATGCCTATTGAATTATAGAGGGAATGCTGCCAAGCAGAATAGTCAGTCCACTGTCACTTTTAAAACTTGCCTTTGGGCAGACCATACCAAATGCAATTAAACAGGTGGTGTTTTTTTCTGAAGACAAAAAAGGGTTTTATTTTCGCCACGTTTTGTTTTGGTAAGGGAGAAAAAAGGTGCTGGGGTTGCTTAATCCTTTAACAATACACTATTGTTTAATTTTTCTCTATTATCTTTTTTTGAATTAAACGAGCTATGGCTGTGAAAGAATCTTACACATGTTCTGAATTGCCATAACAAAAGCTATGAAATGAAACTATATCCAATCAAAATAAGAAAGGGAATTAGTGTTTCATTGAGGAAATCATATTTCCCCAAATCCAATATATTTTACAGGAAGTGTAAAAAAAAGAACCAAGTTGAATTACTGTTTCCAATGATATTTACAACCATATTCTCTTCACACATATTTCTATATACATACTAAAACATAATTCTCTGATCATCCATTTCAAAACAATATTAACAAGATGTTGGGATGTCAGGTGAAACAGTTTCCTGAAGAAATTAAACTTCATGGTTCCTAAAAGCAGATTTCCAGAAAGCTTGATTTAGTAAAATTCTAATTAATTCAAGTTACTTTATACCATGTGATAATTACATGGCTATCGGCCAACAATTTTTGGTAACACTGTCCTATTGTTCATTTCAGATCCTTGATCTGAAGGTGGATTATTCTCTGAAGTCCTTCGTCTAGTTTTTGAGGATGCTGGATGTACAGGATGTGTAGGAGGTAATTTTCCAACTGCATGAGTCCCTGATCCTTGTCTGTGGTGCTTCAGTTTCTCCACTGTTGTGTTTTGAGTATGACCATTTGTTTGTTCGGCAGGTGCTCGAGGCAATCGTCTTCTTAACCAAGCATGCCTAAGAGCTTGTGATGGTGTCATCCTTTGTGAAGGCTCCCATTCTAGACATTTCTTTAAAAAGTCTATGAACAGGGCGTCATCAGAACCCTTTAAGGCCGTCACAAAGTCCTTTGATGCTGGGGGGCCACGAGTTTTTCCGTGCCTCGACTTTCCACCTGATAAAACGGTGCTTCCATCAGGCAATGTTGTTACGGTGCAGTATCTGGGGTAACCTCGTGAACTGATGAAATTCTTTCCTCTCTTTGAAGTTTCCAAAAGTTTGTCAGGGGGCATTCCTAACAGTTCAATAATTGAAGCTAGTTGATCGCCTTCATCTTCGCCAGGAAACAGAGGATATCCCGTCAAAAGCTCTGCTAAAATACATCCAAAACTCCACATGTCGATTGGCATACCATAACGTGCTCCTAAGATAACTTCAGGTGCTCTATAGAATCTTGATTGGATATAAGTATAAATACGTTGATGTTCGTAACAACTGGATCCAAAATCGATGACTTTAATTCCACTTCTGCCTTGCTGTTTGAGCAGTACGTTCTCGGGTTTCAAATCACAGTGGATGATCCTATTACGATGCAGCGCTTCCAGACATTGAAGCATCGAATGTGCAAATTTACGAACCAACTGCAAGGAAAATCCCTGAAATTTGTTCTTCTTGATAAGTTCATACAAATTGATACTAAGCAGTTCAAAAGTGATACACATGTGGCTTCGAAACTGAAAATGTTCTAGCATATGAATAATATTGTAGTTATTTTCCTTGTCCTGTTTCTTTAAGTGTTCTAAAATCCGAATTTCTTCCGCCGCTTGCCGGTGAAATCGCTTCTCATTCCTTATCAATTTCAAAGCAACATGACACTGGTTTTTGTGATCGTAAGCTTTGACGACAGATCCAAAACTCCCTTTACCAATAACCTTTAAAACTTCGTAACGATATGCGATGTGATCGTGAGGCACAAGCGAATACGAGCCTTGTTCGTCGTCATAACCACTGTTGTTAGATCCGCCAACAACACCTTGCCGCTTTTTAGCATTAGGCCCAACGAAATAAATCTGCGGATAATTGAATATTTCATGATGCTCAAACGTCGTTAACTTGTGCATGTACAGTTTCATAGCATGTTCGGGTGACATTGCTTGTCCTTTGCTTTGGGAATCTGAAGACACGCTTGATCGGCGCTCGGAATTCGGAGTAGGAGCATCTGTCCTATGCGTGGTTGTGACTGCAGGTTGTTGAGTACCTTCGACATTGGGAAGACCTCTGTTGTCAACTGATTTCAGTTTACTTTGGTGGTGCTCCTCATCGAAAAGCTGTTGAACCTGTACACCACCTAAATGTGGTAAAGTCTTCGATCCGCTGCTATCATGAGAGTTCTGTTTAACAGCAATTTTATTCGTCTTTTTGAGCGGAGGTAGGACCTCGCCATGGCTTCTTACCGACGCCGACGGGTCAATGTGCGTATAATACATCTCTGTTTTTCCAACTAACGATTGCTTGCTGCTCACTGCTAAAATATGCTTCGTAGCACTAGGCCCTAACATAATCGATTCGATATTTAACTACTGGCATTTAGATCGTCAAAGCACGAACTCAACTGGAGAAAGTTTGTTAGCAAGCCGCCCTCGAAACACAAGTGATTATTTATTCCATCCAGTTGTTCCGTTACCAAGAGACGCCGACCAATCATGACGCAAAAAAGCCGCAAATACAATAACACGTAAACGTGTCTGGCAACCGGTGAAATAAATTAGAATAAATTTGAATAAATCTAACAAGATGTTTCAACAAAAAGGGCTAGAAACCAAATACTGAATGGAAAAGTACAAGTTCGTTGATGGTTGATATGGTGACATCATCTTCTTCAACCTGACGACAGATTACCAAAAAATATTAATAAAAACATCTCCCAAGTAAAACAAATCTTTTATGCTATATTATCTACATATATCTCTGGAAAATCGTCCAATGTGCGGTTGTAAAACCCGAATGATTTAAAAATTTATAAAAATACAAGAACAGTTCTCGACACTGAAATGGAATTTGCTTCAGCTCTGGGTGAAAACGTGAGCAGGGGTAACCAAATTGAAGTTGAAGGGCCAAAATATTTACATTTCAACCACCTAATTTTCTACTAATGAGCTGTAAAATGCATAATGCATTTCTATCCCTCTTCTCCACCATCATCAATTCAAATAATGCTGTCAACGCCAAGTTACCCTGCGATTAATTAACAAAAATTACGAACATGTCCATTAAAGTCACAAATAGCAAGATGATTCCTGAATTAGAACATAGCTCTGATTTTGCCAGATAACACATACTCAGACGAGATAATTACTTCATTTGGCCGAAACTACAATCCATCATCTTAATTTGATTTGAATTTGAGGCAGTTTGTGAAGAATGACGACATTGCCTGGCAAATTATTCTTATGTGTCACCATGAATGAACGTGCTTGTATAAGGAGGAAATGAATCATCTTTTGGAAAACGATTCACATCAAAAGTGCCTCATTCCAGTAGATACAGTCAGGGAATGTGGCCAGGCGGGAAAACTTGCATATCCTCGCAGCAACGCTGGAGTTCTTGTGCTCGCACCTCAGACCTCTAAAGACCCAAAATATCAACTAATTCAAATGTTATACTATAGTTATGTATATCATGAGCATCGTTGCTCGCAGCTCAAATGCTTTTTTCTCTCGCAGGTCACAGCTGATAATGTGCCGTTGGTGGCAGTGGCGCGTCGGCAATCTTATGCATTTTTCCCAATCTTTGAATGCGGAGGTGGGAGGGGGGTTGAGGGGACTTAAACCCCTTAAACCTCTAGAATGTACTTAAAACGATAAAAAAAATTACCCTGGGTGTCAGAGTCTCTATCATTTAGTCTCAGAAATATAGGTCCAAACTTGTCACTGAAATATTTTTCTGAGCAAGGATTGCAATACTCTATTTCCTTCCCCGCCTTCGCAACCACTCATTTTGCCACGGCAGCCGTCTATAAAGGAAGAACCGCAGGATAGGCTGTCCGCCGGATTTTGTGAATCTTGCAATGAGTGTTGTTATGACAGGTATACAGGAACAAAGCAATACGACGACGAGAATCCAATGTCACGAAATAGAATTTCAAATAAATTAAGTTTAAAAAATATACTAATATTTCGCCCCGGCATGCAACGGGAAGTATTGACATGCCGTCTATAATACTTTACCCTCGGATTCACCAGGCTCTGGTGCACAGGGTGACAAAAATTTATCTTGTCTTTGGTTTCTAGCATGTCAATGCTTCCCGTTGCATGTCTGAATGAGTGTTTATCCACTATGGTAAATAACAACCAGTGTTGAGTAAACATACAATATAATACTAAAAATCATACGTTTTCTGAGCTTATTCTTATACATTCTGGTTTTCCTATTGTTTCTTATACTTTTCCTATCTCAATACACATTTTTTTTCGTAAGAATTGTTTTTGTCCAGTTTCGATGTTCTTAAAAATTTCGCTGTGAGCCTGAATAAACTTTTAGTAAGTGATTTAATAATTTTAGAAAGTAATTTTTTTCAAATCTGATCTGGTTTCAAGGGAACATCGCTCGACCTCGAATAGAAACCATGCTTTTTGAAAAACAAGATATGTCAGTTCCGCGATTCCCTTTTATAAACATCGCAGAATACAATATTCTTAAAAATTGGATGATTCTGAGCCTGAATATTCTTATTCGCAAAATTCTTAAAGAGGAGTGTATAAGCATGTCGAAATTTTAGCATTTTTACTACCATTCCAGCTAAACACAAACAGGCAGTTTGAAGAAAAGCTAAATATCACTTGACTACGGGGGGACATACAGTCACGAATATGAAGGAATTCTAAACATGCGCATGGTTTAAAGCTCTTAACTAAAAAACTCCATCCTTCTGCAGATAGTTTTGCCTTTTTAACGATATAGTATAGTTTTGTTAAAATACTGCAAATGCGAATAGCAAAAAGTATTCAACGTTGAAGGCCATTATCATTTCTTAAAAGTAGACTTTAGAAGTTGTGTTTAGCTGTGATAATTCATTGATTTATCCTTTAATAGCTGCAATCAAAACAGCTGAATGCAGATATTTTGGCAAGTCGAGCTTCGATTTTCTTTTAGAGTGTGCTTTTAGAAAAAGGAGTGTATATAACTTTTCTTCATATTTCCTCTCGGGAGAGTGGGCATTTATGTTTGCGCTTTTGCATTGCATTACATTACAAGAAAAAATATTTTTTACGCTGCTTTGGAGCTACGTGAATTATGTTAAAGCAACAACGTGATTTAGAAGTGTATATATGCTATAGGATCTTTAAAGCTCCGCTTCTAGTGAATTCCCAAATAAATACATTCCTTTATGATCATGTTATTATTCCATTATGCGATATGTTCCTTTACAAGATTGCTAGATTCAGGAAGCTTAAACACTTTTAAAGATCTTATTAGTTTATGTTGGCTGAATCATCTTTGAACTTCTTTTGGTACGTATACAATTTCATCCTTCCTCTTTCCTTGTATCATGATCTTTTTCCTCTTTCCTTGGTTATCTTCTTCCTGGATGAATATTTTGTTTGTGTGTGACCAGAGCTAAATTTATATTTCGTGGGACGCCGAACAGAGTGACAGAATGGCAGAGTAACAGAATAACAAAAAAGGTTTTCTTCGAGCAAAAAAGGACTAAACTTCACAAACTGCTGGTATGAAGAAGCTATAAATGACTCAAATATGCTAAATTTTTAAAGAAGAAATATTGCAAACCTCTCCAAGGAGCAGTGTAAAACCATTCTTAGGAAAAAAATTTTAAAATAGATAGAAGAGAATATCAAAAGTAAAACACGACTAAATTAAAGTTTGTTAAAGATAGTAAGTTTGGAATGAAATATTATATTAAATATATAGAAGGACTTCTGTTGCTCAAAGGTAAGCTAGATTTAGTTGAGTTGACAGCAACTTAAAAGGGGAATTTTACCAATACTCTTTGCAGGAGATGCGGATCCCTTGCCCCCCTAGTTGCCTGTACATAATAATTCGTTGTTATGGCTTTCATAACTTATATCTGTTTGAAAAAAATTCACGGACGCCGGAACAAATTTTAAAGTGGAGGAGGCTCTAGGAAATTGGGGGAGGGGGGCTCTTTTCGCAGCTTGCCAACATTATTTTTGATGCCACAGCCTTGATATCATTTTCTCTGGACAAAATGGGGGGCTACAGCCCCTTGGCTCCGGCGTCCCTGATATTTAATGAATTGTTGTTTCCAGTTGCTTTGTGTCGATATGTAAATGTCAAAATATGATTAAATTATACCTAGATTAAAATAACTCTAATATCGATAATAACTAAATATGATGAAAATATCTTTAGCCTCGATCTTATGTGAAAAGTCAGTCAACCATCATGTGATCGAAGACGAGTCTGAGCAATAAATAATTTGAAAGTTGCTAGCTGAAGATTTCTCAAGCAATTAGATGGTAATTCGCATGCCTCCTGAAAGAGATACTTTCAAGATGGAGAAAAACCTAGAGTTCCTGCTCACAGAAACGTAAGAATTTAATGAAAATAACCTCTATCTTGCCTGCAAATGACTCGGCTAGTTGGATGCTCAACATAGCATATTCTATTGAACAACAACGTTGTAGGCCACGAACAAAATAATG